ATCGTCCACCTGCTTCACAAACTCACACTGCTAAGAAGGCAAGCAACAGAGTAAGCTCCTTCCATGTCCCCGTACCCATTTCCTATTGCTTCCACCATGAGCACTAGGGCAGGTTTTTACTGAGGGTGTCCTGGCTGACACCTGATAAAGAGATCCGGCTAATCTGTCAGCTGGTCCCTCTCAAGAGGACATGTATGAGGACCTGCTGAAAGCTTTATCTCTACTGTCCTGGTGGGCAAGGCTGGAGGGTGGGGCCTGGCAGGCACTACTCAGAAAATACTAGAAGAGTGGGGACTTGGGGTCACCTCTGCCAGAGGGGGTGGGAGTGGCAAGTTAACACACCCTTTGAGGAGTCTTCATGCTTGAACTTGCTGCTGGGACACAGGTTAAAGTGGGAGGAGCTCTTGCAACTTGTCTCTAAGGAAAGAGACTGCAAGGGAGCAGGGTGGCTGAGAAAGGTGGGGAGAGGTGGGCTCTGTGAATGAGGAGAAAGTTTTAAGTCTGTTTAGCAGGGAGTAGAGCTGGGATAGTGTCCTTGAGAAAGGTAGGCTATCTGGGGGAAGAAAAGGATATGATTTCCTGAGACAAGAATCCTACTGTTTGTAGATATGGTGCCGTCTCTTGGGTAGAGGGGGCAAAGACTACTCTTTTCAAAGAGACAGCTATGTAAAAAAAGCTGTGTCTGCTGTCAACTGAGGGTGGTAGCTTTGAGGAAAGGGGCAGCTATAGAGAATGCCCCCCCCCCCCCCCCCCCGCTGCTCTGTAGCTCCACCACCTGCTCAGTTGGGCCCAAGCTGGAGACATCCCATTGCCCTCCCTGGCCTGCAGGTGAACGTGCTAGCCCTCAGCATCTGCACACGGGAAGCCTATCAGTCCATGAAGGAGCGGAACGTGGATGATGGGCACATCATTAACATCAACAGGTGAGGCCTAGTGGCTGATGGGTAGAGTTCAGATCACCACTGCCCCTCCAGGCTGCATGATCTGCTGCAGTTTCACTTGTCTGTCTAGACTGCATTTTTCATGGTGGTAAAAATAGAGATTTAATGCCCAAGTGGCATGATGAGAGGAAAACACAAGGTTGTCAAGTGCCAGCCACTCAGTGTCTGAATGAGCAGCTCAGCCACTGCCCTCTGCGGCCTAACAGGAGACTGAATGCATCCATTCCTCAGACTCTAAGATGAACCACCCTCTTGGCCCAACAAGACGGCATAAGCTGTGCCATTAAGAAGCTCCCCACCGGGCACTGGTGGCTCACGCCTGTAGTCCTAGCTACTCAGGAGGCTGAGATCTGAGGATCCCGGTTCAAAATCAGCCTGGGCAGGAAAGTCCATGAGACTCTGATCTCCGTTTAACCGCCAGAAAACCAGAAGTGGCGCTGTGGCTTAAAAGAGTGCTTGCCTTGGGCTGAAGAGCTGAGGGACAGCGCCCACCAAGTTTAAGCCCTACAACCAACCAAAAAGAGAGCAATCGAGTGAGCAAGCAAGCGAATGAGAGTGGGGTGGGGGGGAGTTTTTAGCTGCTGTGTAGAGAGCACAGTGGCTTTGGGAATGGCCACCAGGTCTTTCTAGCAAGGCTCTTGTCATCTGCTTGACAAAGCTTCCCTGTCACTTTCTAGGTGGTAAGGCTGGCCAAATGGCAGAGGGAACTGCCCTGATCTGTGGAGCTTCACTGTCTCACATTTCCTCCTTCCATCCTTCTACCCAGCATGTGTGGCCACCGAGTCCCATTCCAGTCTGAGATCCATTTCTATTGTGCGACCAAGTATGCTGTCACTGCGTTGACTGAGGGACTGAGGCAAGAGCTACTGGAGGCCCAAAGCCACATCCGGGCCACGGTGAGGCTGTGGCCTAACCCTGCTGGGGATGGAATGCACATACCTTCCCACCCATACATGCTGCCCAGGAAGCCCATGACCAGGGAGAGCCGCCTAGAGCCTCCAGGAGTGGCCTGAGTGCAGAATATCTGGGCTCTGTGGCTCCTTATATATAGGTCCTGTTCAGTCCTTCAGGTTCCATTATTTCATTCATCCAGGAATCAGTGACTAGACTTAGACTCTGCGGTAGAAGGGGGCTGACTTGAGGGGAGCATAGAGTGAGACTAAGGGAAAGCAAGGGATTGTGGGCACACAATGTGTAGACACCAGCACTCTGAGCTGACTTTGGGCAAATCTGTGAGCTTTCCCAAGCCTCACTTGTAGAAGGGAATTGAATACTACTTTGTTATGAGGCTTGAAAGAACACCATTTGGTCAAGCGTTTATCACATAAGAAGGTCTCTGTCCAGAGTTGGGGACATTGTGAGCACTGCCAGTGGCAGCTGTGAATGGAGGAGGGAGTTGCTGGGTGTTAAACAGTCATCACTGGTGAGCTGGAGCCCTGTGGCCTCCATCCTTCCCCTCCAACCTCCCTGGCAAAGCTCAGCCCCCGAGTAACCCCTCTCTCGGCCCAGTGCATCTCTCCAGGCTTGGTGGAAACACAGTTTGCCTTCAAACTCCACGACAAGGACCCTGAGAAAGCAGCTGCCACCTATGAGTGCATAAAGGTGGGGCCACCCTCTGGGCTTGCAACACCAATTGATAATGAAAGCAGAGGGAACCCTGACCTTCAAACTTAATCCTCTGGCTAGCTTATCACCCCTTCTGGAGGGCTGGGGTGGGAATGTGGATTCTGGTGAGGACCCCAGTGGTGGGAAAGAACGTGGATCCATTCTACCCTCGTCTCAACCCTTTCCTCTGCTGTTCCCAGTGTCTCAGACCTGAGGATGTGGCTGATGCTGTCATCTATGTCCTCAGCAGTCCCCCACATGTCCAGGTGAGTCTAGCCTTGGCTGTCTATCCCTCGGAGGAGATCAACCATCCCCAGAAGAGGGGAGCAGGAATGCCTTAAAGGGGGTGGGAAATGTCCTGGCTGCCTCAAGCCTTGTGCCTTCCACAGATTGGAGACATCCAGATGAGGCCCACGGAGCAGGTGACCTAGTGTCGTGTGAGGAGCTCCTGCTACCCATCCCTCCTGCCTATGGATTTTAGGTGTTGCTTTCTGGACCCTGGATCCCACTTTCTTTTACTACTCCCACCAAGGGCTAGAAACTTTGTTTTGTCAAATTATGTTCATTGTAGATGTGAAGACATAGGCCAGAGAGAGGAGGCAGTCCCTGATGGTTAACAAGTCACCTGTTGTTCTAGGTCCCCCCTAGGACTCCTTTGTCTTTGTCTGCTCTTCTCATTCTCTTTCCTTTGTCCTAGGAAAGGGGATGTGGCCAAAAGAGGGCCTTCCCCACCTAGCACTCCAATCTCTGTTTCTCAGGGATGGGGTGGCAGAGACCAGCCATCTCCCCTGTGGCTTTGTATCTGTATGGTTATACAGGACTCCAGGCTTCCTTCTCTTCCTGACCAGCTGCCCTTCCTCTTCCCCTTTCCCAACTCTCCAGCCCAGTCTTGGCTTCTTGCTCCCGGGGGGTCATCACTCCACTTTGACTATGGCTACAGAATACCAGGGTCTGGATCCCAGTAGTTTTTACTGTGATAATTAAAAAAGAAAAGTCACAACCAACATACCTTGGCTTCAGGAGTGTTTTTCCATTCTTCCCTCTTCTCCGTGATTGGAGTGTTTGTGTCTCAGAAGTCTTTCCAGGTAAGTGAGCAGGTGGGTGGATTTGGGGCCTCTCTCTTGGAGTGAACATTATCTTTGGGAGCAGGAAAGGGTTGAGTTGGGCCTTGAAAAATGAATCTTTGGCTGGGCGCTGGTGGCTCACGCCTGTAATCCTAGCTACTCAGGAGGCTGAGATCTGAGGATCACGGTTCAAAGCCAGCCTGGGCAGGAAAGACTGTGAGACTCCTATCTCCAATAACCACCAGAAAACCGGAAGTGGCGCTGTAGCTCAAGTGGTAGAGCGCTTGCCTTGAGCTGAAGAGTTGAGGGATAGTGCCCAGGCCCAGAGTTCAAGCCCCATGACCGACAAAAAAAAAAAGAGAGAAAGAAAAATGAATCTTTGGTGTAGGAGCAAGACAGAACAGAATTTTCAGGAAGCAGAAGCAGGAGGATCATGAATTTGAGGCCACATTGTGCAACACAGCAAGTCTGTCATAATAAACATGGGGCCATGCACTAGTGGCTCACACCTTTAATCCTAGCTATTCAGGAGAGGGAGACCTGAGGATCATGGTTCACAGCCAGCTGAGGCAGGAAAGTCCATGAGACTCTTAATTCCAATTAACCACACACACACACACACACACACACACACACACACACACAAAGCTGGACATGGACCTGTAGCAGAGTGGCAGCCTTGAGTGAAAAGGCTAAGGGACAGTGTCCAGGCCCTGAGTTCAAGCTCCAGTACTGCCACAAAAAGGGCTGGAGATATGGTTCAAGGGGTAGAGCACCTGTCTTTCAGGCATGAGGACTGCAGTTCAGTCCCTTGTACAACCTAAATAAATAAACGAAAAATAGACAGGCGGAGAGATGGTTCATTCCTGGGCCATTGGCTCTGAGCATTGAGGAAAGAGTTTGGCCAACACCTGTGAGTCAATGGCATCAGTTGGCTTGTCAACCAGTAGTGACTTTAGAAAATGATCATCCACCGAGGGGGTGGGAAATTATCTTTGGGATCTTGCTTAGAAGGGATCTAGCCTATGAGGATCAGACACGGAGGCTTCTAGGGAAAAAATAAATCCCAGGATGAGTAAATGTGACAGTGTGGGGAGCGAGGAACCAAGGTTGAATTGGTTGAACAGGGAAGCTAAAATTTTCCTTTGCTGGTGAGTGGTCGAGTGCGTTCCCCAGGACCTCTGGGGGACAGGATGCATGCACCAGCAGCTGCAGGGTCAGCTCAGCTTCGGCACGCTCCACCTGCCCGCTGCGTTGGAGGCCGCCGCTCGGTCACCCCTGCAGGGGGCGCTGTGGGGCAAGGCCGCCAGAGCGGCGACAGAGCATGCGCAATACGTTTTCGGTAGGGCGGGAGGGGGGGGGGGCGGAGCAGGGCCGCCAGCACCGGGAAGCCGGGAAGACGAAATCACGGCGACCGTACGGTCCCTGGAGGCAGCGGAGTCTGTTCGTCGCTGTCTGCCGTCCGGTCCTCCGCGGGAGCCCTCGAGTCTCCAGTCCAACTGGGGCGATGGGCCTGCTGGCGAGAGTGCGGGGCGTGGCCTTCGCGGGCGGCGGGGCGGCGCGTCCCTTCTCCCGCGCGGCGCGGCGTGGGCCGCGGCCTGGCGGGGAGGAGCTCGGCCGCCTGGCGCTGGAAGACGCCGGCGCGCCCGCCCCGCGCCGGGAGCTCCTGTGTGGGGTGTCCCCGTGTGTGCTGGCCCTGCGGGCCGCACGCCGCCGCGTGGCCCGGCTCCTGCTCCAGGCCGGCCGGGCCGGGCTTGAGGGGGAGCGAGCCGAGCTGCTCCGCCTGGCCGAGGCGCGGGACATCCCGGTCCTGCGGCCCCCGCGACACAAGTTGGACGCCCTGTGCCGCTACCAGGTGCACCAGGGCGTGTGCATGGAGGTGAGCCCCCTGCGGCCCCGGCCTTACGCGGAAGCCCGGGAGGCCGCCCCAGACCACCACCACCACCGGCCACTGTGGCTTGTCTTGGAGGGGCTCCAGGATCCCCGGAACCTTGGGGCTGTGTTGCGTTCCGCTCACTTCCTCGGAGTGGACAAAGTCATCACCAGTCGGAGAAACAGGCACGGAGGTCCCTTATTCCCCTGTGTCCCCCAACTTGGAGGGTGCAGCCTTGGTCCTCGGGTGAACCCTCTCCCCCGGCCTCCCCATCGCCAGAACTCTCACCCTTAACCCTTGGGAGGCCGAGGGGGGTGGGCAGGGCACCGGGCTTGAGGTGCCTCCGTTTAAAGTGGGGAACGGGGAACTCTTGCAGCTGCCCGCTCACTCCGGTAGTCAGCAAGGCCAGCGCGGGGGCTATGGAGGTGATGGACGTGTTCTCCACGGATGACCTGCCCGGTGTGTTGCAGGTAAATGGGGAAGTGAGAGGAATGAGCCTGGCTTGGCCTCTTTCAAGGGAATGGAAAGGGTTAGCTTGAAGCCCATCGGAAAAGAGAGGTCCCAGTTTTTAAGTACCTCACATATGCCAGTCAGTCACTCCTCTGCCCTTTCTGCAAGGATTAGGGCTCAGGGTCGCTCTCCCTGCTGAAGAACTCTTCACTTATGCGCGTGCTGCTTTAGGTAGCTGGTGGGTAGGAGACCTGGATTCCCCGGGTTAGGGGAAAGCTTGAAAGGATCTTTGAACAAGGGATTTGTGTTCCTGGTGAGACTAGGAAGGGGCCAACTTCAGGAAGACTTTCTTGGGGCCCGCTGGAGTCTTTTCTGTGTTTCTCTTACTGGGGCACAAGGGGGCAGTATTGCCTCACATTTGGTTGCCCCCTTGACCATTCTTGACTGTTGAAAGAAGTTTCTTCTGCAAGTGGGGGTGGAATGCTTTGTGTTTTGTCTAGGAGAATGCTGTCCATGTGCAAGCCATACATAATCTTAGGTTTTCTAGTAGCCATGTTGAAAGTATAAGCAATACACAAGTGAAATTAGTTTTAGTATTTTACGCAGTATATCCAAACTCATGGTTTCAACATATGGGCATTTAAAATATTAATGTATTAAAGTAACATTTTACAGCTGAGTTAAAAAATTCTCACATGCAGCACATATCAATTTGGACTAGTCATGTGTCAATTACTCGGTAATAACAGCAGCTTGTGACTATTGTATTGAACAACATACACCTAGAGGTGTTTTCTGGCTGTACCTTCTCATAGGGAGCCCCCATCAGGCAAACTCTGGCCAAGCCCTTGAACAAGTACCTCCTGAAGAAACAAAAATGCTCACTTGTAATCTACCAGCTTTTTGGGAGGCTAAAGCAGGTCATGAATTCAAAGCCAGCCTGAGCTATATAGAACAATGCTGACAGAGACAAAAACAAAGGCCTATTTGGGAGGTGTTATAGGAAGTTCGTGGTCTGAGGTTGACTGGCAAACAAAGCAAAAAGCTTAGGGGTGTGGCTCAAGTGGTAGAGCCCCTGCCTGGCAAGCAAGAGGCCTGAATTTTCTAGTACTGCCAAAAAAAAAAGGGGGGGGGGGGCTGGGAAGGTGGCTCAATGGTAGAGTGCTTGCCTTGCATGCATGAGGCCCTGGGTTCAATTCCTCAATACCACACAAGCAGAAAAAGCCCGAAGTGGCGCTGTGGCTCAAGTGATAGAGCTCTAGCCTTGAGCTGAAGAGCTCAGGGACAACACTCAAGCCCAGAGTTCAAGCCCCATGACCAAAAACTGACAAAGGAAAAAAAAAGCGGGGAGGGGGCATTTTTGAAAACTTTGCATGTCTTAGTGAAAGCCAGATCCTTTCACTGGCCTTTGAAGTCCTAGGTGTCCATTGTTCTGTTTGGATAGCCTGCCTGCTGGCTGCTATACTAATCCTCAGACATGCAGGGTAGGCATGGGACTTTGCATATGTAGAGCTCCATGCCTGAAATATCCCCCTAGCTTTTTATAAGCTGCCCCTCATCATCTTGAAAGACTACACTGAAATGTTACTTCAAGGAGGCCTTCAAGCCAGATGCTGGTAGCCCATGCCTATAATCCTAGCTGCTTAGGAGGCTGAGATCAGAGGATTGAGGTTCAAAGCCAGCCTGAGAAGGAAAGTCTGTGAGACTCATTTCCAATTAACCACTAAAAGGCCAGAAGGAGAACTGTGACACAGGTGGTAAAGTACCAGTCTTGAGCAAAAAAATAAAACACCTAAAGGATAATGCCCAGGTCCTGAGTTCAAGTCCTAGTACTGGTCAAAAAGCTAACAAAAAATACTTCAACCATCCTTCCACAAGGTTGGGATTTTATTCCGAGTTTTGTTTTGGCTCTACCCCAGATCCTAGACTAGAATCTGGTCTGGTTGAGGTGCTTAGCAACTTGATTAAATTGAATGGCTCTTGATGAAATTTGAGTGAATGCACACATGGCAAGACTATACCACTTGCCCAGGGCTCTGATGATTTTGATGACCTAGAACATGATGTCTTCCCTCTTCCAGGCCAAAGCCCAGCAGGGCTGGCTTGTGGCTGGCACAGTGGGCTGCCTGGGGCCTAAGATCCCTCACTCTTCTCAGATACCCATCATGAACTGCTTGGAGTTTGTTTGGGACCGGCCTACTCTCCTCGTGCTGGGTAGGTGCGTGCTCCTGCTTTTCTGTGGTCAGAGGCTCATTTCCCAACAACCTCCAGCTGGGGTTCTCTAACCCTCTGACCCCTGGCCTGCAGGGAATGAAGGCTCTGGTCTGACCCAGGAGGTGCTGGCCTCCTGCCAGCTTTTGCTCACCATCCTGCCTGGGCGTCCACTGCCTCTCGGGCTTGAGTCCTTGAATGTGTCTGTGGCTACAGGTAAGTCTACTTTTATTTCTTGCTAATGTTAACTTGTGTGTCAAAGGACCTTATTTATATTCATGGGCCTGCCTCTCCTCTGCCTCTCTTCCCTCTCCTTGTTCAGGAATTCTTCTTCACGCCATCTGCAGCCAGAGGAAAGGTCTCCCTGTAGAGGAGGAGAGAGGGCAGCTTCTCCAGGACCCTCAAGATCCTTCGGCTATGTTTGAAAGAGTCACAGTGGCTCAGCACTCAGCATTGTCTTCAGAGTCAGAAAAACAGAGCCCAAGTGGGGGCTGACTTGGCCTGTCTGAATTGGTCCTGTGCTGGAGTTGGGATGGGTTGCACGTACCTCCACGGGTTCCCAAGATTCTGCCTGAGTGTATGTCCAAGCCTTTGTTTTGATGTTAAAGATGTTAATTTAATTCCAGACTAGGATGGGATGGAGGGTTTCTGTTTTCCCAGACCCGGATGGGAAATCTAGGTATCAGAAGGAAGCTGGACGGCCCAGACCAGAGGGCTGTGGAAAATGAGGGCTTGTGGATGTGGAAGAGGCCCAAAGACCTTCCTGTGGGGTCACAAGTGCACCCTCTCCCCCAGGCTTGTTGAGGATCAAATAAAACCACGTGGTGTTCAGCTGACATTCAGCAAATGGGTATTCTCTCTGGTTCTTCCATTAGGTGGCAGCCTTGCTCTTTGGTCCACAGTTTTCTTATGGAAGCTTTTGCAGACACCTAGAGGGAAGACTCCTGGCTGCAGCCTTCCTAGAAAATAAGCACTCCTTTCCCCAACACACACACACCACTACCACCACCACCACCACCACCTTGTCACTTTGTGAACTGTCAGTCCTGCTGTGTGGAAGGGATTCCTGACCCAAAGCCCTCACCTTTAAGGCTCTGGTGGTAAGGAGGGCATTGCTGTTTGTTGTGCAACCCAGGCAGGTTCAGCCTCTGACAGCTCACAGGTGGATCAGAAGCTGCAAGTGGTGTCCCCCATCTTGGCTGCACATTGGAGCCCACAGTAACAGCTCTCAACAAACAAACATACATGAATAGATGAGGCCAACACTGCCACCAGACTGAGTGCCACACAACCAGTAGAATTTTATTATTATTTTCCTTCTAAGTCATTCTCACTGTATAGTTCAGGCTATCTTGGAACTTAGTCTAAGCTAGCATCAAACTCAAGAGCCTCCTGCCTTAGCCTTTCAAGTGCTTGGGGTTACAGGTGTGTTACATCATGCTCCAGGCTAAGCATTAGCATAAACTTCCAAGGCCGAAAACCACTAGAGCATAGTTTTTCACCCTCATCTTTCTGGAGTTTGGGTCAGGCTTTTATTTTTTTCCTTTTGGTGCTGCTACTATGACTTGAACTCAGGACCTGGATGCTGCGCTATCCCTAGCTTCTTCACTCAAGACTAATTCTCTACCACTTGAGCCACAGCCCTACTTCCAGCTTTTTGGTGGTTAATTGGATGTGAGAGTCTCACAGACTTTCTTGCCTAGGCTGGTTTCAAGCCATGATCCTCAGATCTTAGCCTCTTGAGTAGCTAGGATTACAGATATGAGCCAGCGGCTCCCTGCTTTTTGGGGCAAGTTCAGTCCTTGCTGTGAGATCTGTCCATGGTGCTTAGCAGCACCTGGCTTCTACCTGCTGGTACTGCAATGCATCCTAGTTATGAGACCAAAACTGTCTCCACACATACCCACATCATCCCTGATCGAGAATCCTGGAGTTCTGATTGCCATGAGACTTTGGTCAAGTTGCTGACACACTTGAGCCTCAGTGCCTTCCTTCATAAAAATGGGATAATTCTACCTTCCTGGATTCCTAGGAAGACCTAGAAAGCAGCAGGATCTTGGTACCTCCTATGCAGTAGGTGCTGCATAAATAACCCTCCTATTTTCTCAGGACTCAACCTGGAGTGGGATTACCTTGGAATTCTAATAGCCAGGCTCATGTAGAACAAAACTTGAATTTGTTTACAAAGGGCCCAAGATCACTTTAGTTTTCCTCTGAAAAAGGACAAAGTCCCTTCTCACATTCCTTAGTTCTCTCCTAGCATATATCCCTCTTGAGCTCTGCCCCTGACTACCACAGGCTCCAGTTCTGCTGAGCTCTTGATTAACAGTCTAGAGCCATGATTTTGCTGAATCTTAGAACCATGGGGCCAAGGAAAACAATGGCATTGGTATTCCAGATGCCAAGAGACTGACCAGACCAATTAATAATCCCAAGAAAGGAGGCAGGTAGCAGTGTTTCTTAAAGCTTCTAGTTGCAATCAGGTACTGGTGATTGACACCTGTCTGTAAGCCTAGCTACTCAGGAGGTTGAGATCTGAGGATCACAGTTCCAAGCCAGCCTGGGCAGGAAAGTCCATGAGACTCCTATTTCATAAACTACTGAGAAAAATGCTGGAAGTGGTACTGTTGCTCAAATGGTGGAGCACTAGCCTTGAGCAGAAGACTTCAGAGACAGTGCCCAAGCCCTGAATTCAAGCTCCATGACCGGAAAACAAACAAAACCCACCTAGTTGATTATTGTGCTGCTGGGTTCAAGAATCACAGACCTAAATGGATGTGGTGGCCATGCCTGTGACCCCAATGCTCTGGAGGCTGAGGCAGGAGAGTTATGACATTGAGGCCGGCCTATGTTAAATAGTGAGGCCTGGTATCAAACACCACAACAATAAAAAGGCAGAATTGATGGCCTTTGAGCTAACTGCTCATGTGGGGAAATAGTTACATATTCATTTACACCTAGAAGCGCCTTCACACCTGTGCTCTTTGAGCTCTTATGGGAAAGCTTGGGCCAGGAGGACATTTGAGCTTTCCTCTTAGGGTCTTTGGAAGATGCAGGCCTCAATCCTGGCTCCTTAGGGTCTTACCTAGATACCTCTTGGCCTCCTCATCTGTAAGACAGGCATAATGCCAGTAATACTGGCTCATTGGACCTCTCCCAGTAGGAAAATAATGAAATAATGAGAGAATATCAGTAAGAATTTTCTGTTGGGCTGGGACTGTAGCTGTTCACCCTTGGACTAGCACATAATACAAACGTTGTGTGACACATAATTTTATGTGTCACCTTCACTGGGTCATGGGGGTGCCCAGCTATTTGATTAAACATTGAGCTTAAATCAGACTGAGGGTAGATTGACCAAGCTAATGTAGGTGGGCTACCACTAGTCAGCTGATGGCCTGAATAAAACAAAAGACTGACTCCTCCCAGATAAGAAAATTCTTTCTGATTTCAGACTCAACCGAAACATGCATTTTTTTTTTTTTCCTGTTCTTCATCCTGCTGACCTTTAGCCAGGAAGTATGCCATGGGCTCTCCTCTTTCTCACACCATCTACTCTCCTGGCCTACCTCTACAATATGTGTCAGTTCCTCACAGTCAATGTACACACACACACACACACACACACACACACACAGCCCTGATGAACATGAAAGCAGGTGTCCCCGTACTCCTGCATGTGGGGTACAGAGCTGCACTCTGTACTCTGTTCTCTAGGAGTAGGCTCCTGCATGGAACCTGCAAGCCAGTGGGGTGAAGCCTGAGGAGAGAACAGTGGTTAGGAGCAGGGCCCTGGCTGTTAGCCCCTGTTGGCTTGCTAGTGGTGTAAATGTGGGCATACCCATTAAATCCCAAGCTTGTCATTCTCTCTAAGGTGGGGTGACAGTAGTTTCCATTCTGAGAGAGTGGTTCATGGGTTGGGAATGTGGCTTAATGGTAGAGTGCTTGCCTGCCTAGCATGCATGAAGCCCTGGGTTCGATTCCTCAGAACCACAGTAACAGAAAAAACTGCAAGTGGTACTGTGGCTCAAGTGGTAGTGTGCTAGCTTTGAGCAAAAGAAGCTCAGGGACAGTACCCAGGCCCTGAGTTCAAGCCCCAGCCTGTGCTTCTGAAGGAAGCTCTCAGCCCCAGGCCTGAGGGAGGATGGTGGCTGTCCTTGGCACTGGGCTGGCCTCAGTTTCCCCATAGGCTCTAGGGTCCCTTTGAGCTGCAACACATCATGGTTTACCCTGTTATTGCTGACAGGAATTGGGGAGGGATGAGCTTGAGGGATGTTTGGAGGCTCATTTTTGCCAGACTCTCCCTTTTCCCTCCCTCTTCAGCAAGATTGAGGGCTGACCAGCATCCCCTACAGCTGAATGGAGGTCACGCCCTTAGTTCCCCATCCTAGGCTGAAATCTATTTTTAGCAAGAGGCTAAATTGTCAAACCTTTCTCCCAGCAGTTTGAGGTCCTAAATTAGACACTCCCCCCTCCCGTCCCCATCCTCCCACTAGCTCCTGCAGGGCCAGGCACCAGGGATCCCCACAGTTTGTAAATGTAATCAACCTTGAGGTCGCTCACTTCCACAGGTGCAATTAGCATGCCCATCTGCTAATCCCTGATTAATGATGTTTACAAACAAGGCACTCCACTCCCAGGGCTGCTACTCCTTCTTGTCACTGTTGGGAGGTGGGGGTCTTTGCAGAAACCCCTTCCCACTTGAGGCCTATTGCCAGCATCCCTGGTGGTGGGCACAGCTGGAGGTCCGCCACCCCCATTCTCATTCCAAACACGTGGAAGCAGAAAGGAGGTCCTGCCTGGGACAATCAGGAGGGAAGGGGGCCGAGGTTGGGATTTTGCTCAGCCGTCCTCCTGCCCAATTCTGCAACTTCAAGGACCAGACACAGTGGGCATGCAGCCTTTATTCCCTACCCCAGCACACTCCAGGGGTGGGGTCCTTGGTTGGGCATATGTCAGGGTCAGGTCTCCAAAAGCATAAAGAACACTAACCTCTTGGGGATGGGAGGAAAGGGCCTCACTATGAATCCCAGGCTGGTCTGAAGTTTGACATGCTTCTATCTCAACCTCTGGAGTGCTGGGATTACAGGTATGCACCATCATGCCAGGCCAGAGAACAGATTTGTGAGCTAGTAGTCCTGAGTCCCAATGTTGGCTGGCTTTAGCCAAATAGTTTGAACTGGATGAACCTCAATTTCTTCTGCAAAAGAGAGATAAGAATAGTACTTACCACCATGTTTAAGGTTTCCAGGTGAGGATAATAGGGTATGTGGGAAAGACAGTGGAGCACTGGGGATACTAGGTACTCAAGAAATGTGAGTGTGTGTGTGTGTGTGTGTGTGTGTGTGTGTGTGTGTGTGTGTGTGTGTGTGTGTGTGCTGCGATGAAAATACTAATTAGTGATGCTGTCGAATGGCGGCTTCTGAAGCTAGGGGTATGTATGTAAAGCCTCCCCCTCCCACCTCTCTAGGGAGAAGGGCAGGTCCCAGCTCATTACTGGTGGGGCTGAGGTAGAGGTGTCAGATTGGAATCACTACTGGGCCTGTTTGCAGCTTCCCTGTTTCATTAACACCTTCCTGGTGGTCTTGGCCTTATCTCACTGTGGGAGGCAAGGGGTGCTCCAGAAATGTCTGAATGCCTCCTACACAGCCTCCAGCCCACTACCCTCCATTTCCAGGCGTATGTCCCAGATATCTACACAGGGGTGGGGTTTACAACCAGGAAGCTGTCTCCCTTTCCTGAAGGTCCTACAAACATGCTAGAGCGATCCATCTTTTATTCTCTCTCACCTACCTCTAATCCTTAGGTTCAAGGCCCCCTGTACCCGAAGCCTGCA